ATAGATAACTTCTTCAATGAGAATTTATTAGTTATATATTTGTGTTTCATGTTCTAGACGGTTTTAATTCATTCATGATTGCATGCATTCTACACGAATTGTCCTGCCTTAGCGCCTTTAGCTTTCTGAAATTTTAGAACAAAAATAAAAATGCCCACTTGCTTCTATTTTGCTGTTTCGCATTACATTTATTACTTATTGCTTAGCTTATTCCGAACCTGAACTCTTTAGCATAGTGATATTACCATATATTTTGCATATTTAACATGCATTTAATGCTAGTTTTCATGCATTCATCTTGCATTATAGGCTAGTTTCTACCATTTGTTGCACTTTAGGTCCTAGATCACTTTGCATTCGCAATATGCATATTTTCTGCATTTTAGCATCATTATCAGGTTGTTTGAGACACACTGGAGTTGTGGAGGTTGCGTGGACGTGCATTGAATCGAGAGGAAGCTTGTGAACACTTGGAGAACTCAGCCATGCTTGCAAAGGACCCGAGATCGAGCAGCGGATCGAGCAAGGCAGGTCGATCTAGACGAGATTGACCAGAAGGTCAAGTGACTCAAGTCGTTTCAAGGAGGAGGATCGAGAACAAGATCGGGAGAGGTGATCGATCGTGAGTATGGACGTGAATGACGCCATGCAGAACGAGAGTCACATCGAGACCACGACTCGGTCATCCAAGGATCGAGTTGAAGATCGAAGGAAGTGCTCGATCCATCCAACCAAATCGACTTGAAGATCGAGCAAAAGAAGGCGATCCGTGGAGAAGATCGAGTAAGCTGATCGATCTCGAGATCGATCTCTGGAGCCTTATCCGGCCAGCTCATTTTTGGAGCGTAGTGAGGGGACCATTATGGCTGTTTGGCTATTTTGGGCAAAGGGTGGCGATCACTTTCGACATACACGCTTAGTCTTATCTTTTTCCAGCATTCCTTTAGGCGATTTCCGCCATTGTTCTGTTCTTGATGTTTTTCATGTTTTGAACCTTGAATCTTTTCAATATTAAGTCTTTTTCTTTAATCGCTTGCTTGTTCATGTTTAGTTTTCTTTCCCTTGCATTTCAATTGGTTTCAAATATGACTAGTGAGTAGATTTCTTTTGGGTTAAAGGTTGGGGCTATTCAAGGGTTTAAGGGTTTAAGCTTTTTGAGTTTTTCTTGTTCTTAACCTATTCTCTTCTAGGATTTGGGGTCTTAAAGCTTAGAGAGTCTTGGAAAAGATCTCTATGATTCCAGGGCTTTCTTACCTTGACCGAATTCTGAGATCCTTGAAAACCAAATTCTTGAGACTAATCTATCCTCTCCCAAACGCCATGGATGTAGAGGGGGTTAGTTAAGCCAATATTTGAGATCTTTGTTTAATGCTCTTTGACCCATCTATCCACTACATGCCATAGGTTTGGAGGAAGGGTCGAAGAAAGGGGTCATACCACATGCCATGGATGATCCTAGTTTAAGATTCTTAAGGCTTAGGGGAAGCTCATCAAATGAGTATATCTATGTGTTTTCAAACCAAAGTTTGAACCTTTGAACTCTTTTGAACATGACCCTCGACCTTGAATCCACTTTTTAGCATTTTAAAACTCTAGTTTATCATTCTCTAATCATAAAGCTTGCTTCTTTGATCATTTGAAGTCATTTATCTAAGTTGTTAGAAGTGTCCTGTTTTACCCGTTTCAGTGCTTGATTTTTAGTAATTAGTAGAATTGCATTTTAGAGTCTCTGTTTTCTTCTAGTAGTTTTTAACCCTCTTCCAGGGATTTTAAAATAGTTTTCCTGCTCATTTGGTCGTTGCATTTAGTTTTCATCGATTTTACCATCTATTTACCCGATTCTGCTTAGATTTGCTTAGTTCTTGCATTCTTAGTGTCTTTCTTCACCCGGATTGATCTCCTTTACTGCTATATGACATTGTTAACAGTGGTTTAGGCTTCGATAATTAGACTCCCAAACATTCTGTCTATCAAATGGAGTCCCTGATCGATCAACCCTCTCGATCCTAGTCAACATGGGCATGAGATCGAGTCCTAGATCGACCAAATAGACTCAATCTCATGCCGAGGTAAGTTTTTGTTTTCCCTCTCTTTTATCTTTCCCTCCTATTTGAAATTCTAATCTTGGTCAAGGCAAGCATCTTTGACCATGAAAGATGTGCATTGACCAACTTTGTCAGAAAACCACTTGTATAATCCATAGTTTTCCTACCCTTTAAATTGACATGCATCCACACTCTCTCTCATTTGTGTTTCGAGCTGTTTTCTAAAGAAAGAGAGAGTGTGAGTTTCTGTTTTTAAGGTTAATAGCTTCTTGCTTTCATCTTTTCAAAAAGTATTTTCGGTTATTTGAATTTCATATTTAAAATTCTTGGAAAATTGCCTTTTGATTGCTTAGGATGATTGTTAGTTGTTAGGGAATTAGGATAATTTTTAGAAATAGCTAAATATTAGGAAAATTGCTAGATTTAATCATATCTCTAGATATTCTCCTCCAGTATTTAGCTATAATTTTTATAAATTCCCTAAAAATCTAGGATTATTGTTATAAGTTTTTCTCTCCTACCTTGTCTTTCTCTTTGATTCGCCGCCTATACTCATTCTCCTCTTCAAGACTTGTGTTTCAGGTACCAATGGCACCAAAAAGGAGCAGAGAGGAGACAACACAAGGAGAAGGAACTCAAGAAGTGGTTCAGGAAAGGGTTAGATGGACCAAGGAGGATAAGCTAGCTAAGAAAAGGTTGGAGAGGCTCCAGTTTGACCCTACAAAGTTCGCGAGCAGAGATCTGTTGGAAAAGATGGGGATATTGGGAGATTTTGATTAGCTTCTCCAGAACATTGGGCTCCGGTGCTTGTCAAGGATGGATTGCCCAACCTATCCCGAGGCAACCCTAGACTTCTTAGCCACCTTGGAGTTTACCTATGAGAATCCAAGCCTCCCCACTCCATCGCAAGGTCACATCACCTTCAAGATCAGGAGGAAAGCTTACCACCTTTCCACCCCCGAACTATGCCTAGCCTACGGTCTGAAAGCTAGTGGCAAGCTTGTAGAGTTTCCTCCTTCCACTCAAGCCAACGACCTATGGGATTTGATCAGCAACGATGACTACAAGGCTAACACGGCCAAGATCAAGAGAGTCCGCAGCCCCGTGCTGAGATACACCCTCAAGCTCATTGCCAACAATTTCAGCGGAAGGTCCGTGGCTCCAACAGTCACCAAGAATGAGTTTTGTTTTCTCTTCCAAGGCGTTAAGCACCTTCTATGCGATCCTAAGGAGAATGACGAGCCGATGGAAGATGAGCTTGGAGATGATGTCAATTATGGATGCATTTTGGCTTCCTCTTTGATCATGTACAAGGCGTGGGCAATAAGGTGCAAGGCGAGTTCAGTGCTGATAGGAGGCTTCCTCACACCGATGTTTGTGCAAGCCGGAGTACCCCTTCCAGACTTCGTGCCTTGCGCGGAGAAAGCATACATGGATGAGACATACATGCACAACATCGACTCCTTGGGATGCACGCCAGCTGAAGACTTCTTTGCTTATCTGTTCTACGATTGTGAGAATGAGAAGAAGGTGTGCATCTTTCCAAACAAAGAGGAAACAGAGCTGCTAGGTGTTGGCAACATAGAATTTCTGCCAAGCAAAGAGGAATGCTTTGCATCTCTAGGAGCCACAGCCGCATCACCACAAGCTGCTCGTCTGTGTTCAGAGTCACCTCACTCCGATGCTGAGATGCCAGCTAGCTTCGACCTTCCCAAGCTTGACTACGAGCCAAGGACAAAGGCGGAGAAGTTTCTTGCTTCTGTTGTGGAGATGCAGCGGAAGGTGAACAAGTGGCAGAGAAAAATGATTAAGAAGCTTGCCAAGAAGATCAAGGTCTTGCAAGGGAGCCCGCCTAAGAAGTCTTCCAGTGATGAGGTGCAGCAGTCGGATAAGAGGAGGAGATCAACCGGAGGTATTGAGATCCATGAGCCCCAAGAAACCAACCATGTTGTACGTCTCTCCCTTCATGAAAGCACGAGCAAGGATAAGGGAAAGGAGACCAGCCACGACACTCCTAAGAAGAGCAATAAGTCTGGAGCAACTTCAAGCTCCAGCCTTACCTAGCTCAAAGGTACCAACAACCAAACCCTTGTAAATAACATGCATTTTCTTTAATTTTTGCTTTGTGTTTTGACTCCTCTTGAATTTGTTTGCCACTGAGATGGTGTCATTCAAGTTTGGGGGACTGTGTGGTGTGTTTAACATGTTTTCTTTGATCTTATTTTCTGTTATCATCTATTGAGTCATCATGTATCATGTAAGGCATATAAAAGAACAAAAAAATGATAAAACTTTTTAAAAATTTTCAAAAAAAATTCATGTAGTTGCATATTTCATTGTTAAAAAGTTGTAGGATTGAGTCTAGAATTTTTAAGCATTTAGGTTGTTTGCAATTGCATAAGGGGCAAAAGTTTTTCTTGAAAAGTGTTTTAAGCTCATGAATTGTTTCAAGGCCCTAGTTAGTAGTTCTTTGATGCATTGTACATACTTTGAAAATAAGCTCTAACCATATTTGGATCATTTGATTTTATTTTAGTGGCTTAAGTTGAATATTCATGAATTGAATCTTTTCCTACTAAGTGAGAACCTTAATTTGAACTTTCAATTATCATACTTATGCATTTGAAAAAAGATACATGGATCACTTATACATATTTAGGCTTTCTTCTTCCTTTCACTACTCTCTTATAAGCCTAAATTGACCTCCCCACCTTTACCCTACCCTCCTTTTAAGCCAATGTTCTTGTGTGATGAATCTTTGTGAGGCCTCTTTTCGGTTGCACTTAGCATAAAGTGTTAGGTTTAGGCGACATGATTAGGCTTTCATACTGATGCTAGCTTGCATTTTGAAGATAGTTTTAGGTTTAGGATAGGACGGGTATTCATGTGAGTTGATTTGTTTTGTTTCGGTTTAAAGAGTTTGAAGTTTGGAAGTTGAATAAAAGGGTTTAATGTGAGTTGATTTGTTTTGCACCAATGGAATTGATTTATTCATAATTAAAAAAAAAGTAAAGTACGATGCAGTTTAGCAATTTTTCAAACATCACTATGATGTTTGAAAGTTTATTACAACATAGATAGCATTGTGTTCATAAAACAAGCGAACTCTTTAATTCCTAGCATATAATATCGTCCACTCAGAGACATACACCAGAGTATTTTCATTCACCTTATCAGGAAGGTCCAATCTTGGGGTAAGGAGCATTCGCCAAAGCATCATTAGGATCTATTTCCAGAAAATAAGAAAATTTCTTTAAAAATATATACTTCACTGCCGGTATTAAAGTTAAATTGTAACGAATAGAAGATGAAACACAAACATCAGGAATTGTGAAACCAAGAGCCCATCCATAGCCCAGCATGTAGAGATACACATCTCCTTTGTCAGAAACATTGGGGTGGAACACCTTGGTTTTTAATTTAAGCTAAAAATTGAGGAACCCGTAAGATTTAGACATAGACATTAGCAGTTGTTGCATAAGCGCAAGAGTTTGTATGAAAAAATTACAGTTGGAGCTATCATTGGAAACCGTGGGGAAAAATTCATGCTAACACAGAATGTTCCTCCACCATAAGGGCTATATTTCCCTTAATTGCAGCTTCCCACTCGAAGAGGTTTTCATCCACCTGACCTAAACAAAACATCTCTAAAACAACAACAAGATATGAATGAAAGTTTTCATCAAAGGATTAATGATCTACAACAACATAATATTCACGTCTGTTCTGTCTCAATCATAAAAATTTGGGGTTTTCTCAAATCTATAACGAGAGAACATGCCATAAAATTATTTTTATACAGAGACGGAGAGAAAAGACACAGAAAGTCATCACTAACCCACTAGATTCGAACGGGTACAAACCAATGTAAGTGAACCCAACTACTAAAAATACACAAAGGAAACTTCAAAATCGCATCTATCTAAAGAAATCAAAATACGAATCCAAACCCAAATCACCAAATATAACTTATATATCTATATTAAACATTTTTTAACCAAACCTGTTGAAAAAAAGTCAGAAGGACGGTTTTTAATTTGCCTGGCAGCCATCTGGAGATCTTTAAAAGCGAAAGAAGTCGCCATTGTTATCTGTGGAAACAGTGGTGCCGAAATAATGGGGAACCAGAATATATATAAACAAGGGACGAAGCAGTTCGTTAAGGGACAAAGCAGTGCAAACGTCACCAAACACCAGAGAAAGTTGTATCTCTTCCCTAGATGATAAGAGAAGAAATTGATTGTTACAATAAAAATAAATAAATAAATAAATAAATAAATAAAACGATTACCTCTTATCGATACAGTGTCAGTTCTCTCTATGAGGAATCAATGGGGATTTTTTTTATATTCTTACAAACATATATTCTTTATAAACAATTTCAATCACTGATATGATAATTAAAACACCACAGCCTTGGGGGTTACAACTGCCCTCTAGTTTACCTTCAATCCTCGGGTTCGAGCACCCAAAACAGTTTTAACAAACATTTTAAAACTTGTTTTAAATCTTTTATAAATTACACCACCAAATTTATAAGGATTTAAAAGATTATTTATAGATCCTTTAACAACGTTCATATAATCCATCATGTTAGACAAAACACAATTGGGCTTTCAACATGAAGAATTACCTTTTAAATCTTCTTTTAAATCATTTTATAAATTATAATTTACAATCCACAAGAGCATCTTAGATATTCTGGGCCCGTGTTTGGGCCTGCATCATAACCAGAGTAATATAAAAATTTCCCAAAGTGTACTCTCTTTATAAGCAATTACACTAGAGGCTATAAAAATTAAAACACCACAGCCTTGGGGGTTACACACGCCCTCTAGTTTACCATCAGTACACTTGTTCGAGCAAAACGGGATTCACATAATTCTAATTCGTTATATGTTATTCAATCCACAGCCTTCGAGCATATTTTAACTCCCAAACATTTTTTATAAATAATTTAAAACATCTTTTAAATTTTTATAAATCTTTACAAAGATTCAAAAGCTAATTTATAAATATTTAATAAAGCAAATATTAAAGATACAAAAAGTAAAGAGTCTGGTTAAAAAGCCATTACATGGCCAAAAAAGAGAGGAAAAAACCAAAGAAGAAACTTACAAGTTTTTGAGCTGAAGAAATTTTAAAACAAACAAGGACAAAAAGTTTCATACTCTAGCCTTTTTGTTTCTCATAGAGCTTCTACGATAATCCCCTTTCAGTTTTCTGTTTGACTTTTTGCTCTCACTAGGTGACTCAAGTGGTAACTCATCTTCAGCTGCATCGTTACGGTGGTTATCTGAAGAAGGTCTATAAAATACCTCACAAAATAAGTCAACCGCCAGCTTAATTCTCAGTTGTTCAATATTTGCAACGCAGAGCCTAGACATGTCTGTCATCGTACTCGCATGGCACTCTATGAACTTGAAACTATATAAACTTGTGTCCTGAAAATTGCTTACCTATAGTAAAACATTTGTGATTAGTCAGCCAATAAAACATTTGTGATTAGTCAAGCATTATTTGTGCATATGGGATTGCTAAAGTCTCATAATCTGATAGTCTGTCTGGGTATCTATCGCTGTCCCATATGCTTACCAACCCTTTCTTCAAGTCAAATATCACGGCAACCTACTGTTTGTTATGCCAACATTTTGGCGCATATACATAGTCTATATCTTTGATCATCTTCTTCCCTGTGTTGCCAATATCCGGCAATGTACCATTGATGTAGCCTTTAATGCTTTTGTTGTCGTAGTTGTACCACTTCTGACTCCACCGCCATCTTTCCCAACATTGTTTGAGTGTCAGAAGGAAATGTACTCCATAGATGGCAACTCTACTGTTTGCAAAAATTTTGGGACTATTTTTTCTCCTTGTTCGAAGCAAATGCATAGCAGACTCTATATGCTGCAATAAAGCAAAAGATATAACTTTTTACTTTTAAACTATGAATGCGTATTATCAAAGATAACAAAGTGAATGAGATTGCAATACGTTTATATCACAAGCAGAAAGAATTATGACACACCCAAAGTTTGGAAAATGTTTAAAAATTGAAGTTTAAGAACCAATCACCATTTACTTCTAGTTTAAATGAGATTTCAAATTCTAGTTTTACCTGTCTGGTCATTACAGTCCCTGGTGTCTGGAGGTTTAAAAACCGATCACCATTTACTTCATGTCCAAGAAATATTTCAAGATCCTACATTTCAAAAGATATTTGTAAATCTCTCCTTATTTCTAAGCTAAACATATATGTAAACTTTACTTACTTCTGGTTAGTTGCATTCTTCCATTCATCTAATCTTGCTTTCCTTGATAGAAGATATGGCTGGAATGGGTGGAATATTGGATGAGCTCCACCTTGTTGCAACTGAACGGTAAAATCTTCATCCGTCAGTGGTGGTCGCAAAGCAAATCCATGGCGGGTGGAATCATGACTTTCATCACCTTCGTCATCATTGGGATTTTCTGTACAAAAAACAAGAACAAATTCCCGTGTTTTTAAAGTTGGTTTTATAAAATAACATATTCACATGACAAAAACTATTATTACCAACAACAACATTGGTAGCCTCACCGCCGCCACCATGATCTTCATCGATATCGCTAACATCAATAGGCGCATCAACATTGCCAGTACGATCTCCATCATTACCATTTGTAACATCCTTATCCTCACCATGATCTTCAACATTACCTTCTCTGTCGCTAGTATCAATAACATCATCTCCAGGATCTTTTCCATCATTGTTATCCTGACCATCTTTAGGATCTTTTCCATCATTGTTATCCTCGCCATCTTCAGGATCTTTTGGATCGTTGTTATCCTTACCATCTACATGATGTTTTTCCTATAAATCATAAAACATATTGTCAAAGCCCCGAAAACAAACTGAACATTTTAAACGGGATTAATAGATTCTTTTATTTACCTCTGCTGCCTTAATCCCCATAAAAGCCTCTATGGTCTCCACTTTGCCAATCAAGGTTTTAAGCATCTCCATCATCTTGTCAATTTTTTCACTCTGAGTCACAAGAGGAGCCTCACGTGTTGTTCACCTAGGCTCCGCTCCTCTGTTATGTCGTGTCCGTATTTGTTCAGATGCTAAAACACCATCTACTTTTCTCTCTATCCACTCGGATCTGCTTAACCTATAGCCTTGCATTACAAGTTGCACCACCGTTGCAAAGTCTTTGTCAATGGGATTTGTTGGTGGAACCAGATTCTTATATTCCTCTGGATCCCCAACAACAGTATTGACTATAACCTGCAATCGCATAGCAGATACATTTATAAGAGTTTAATTAAACCAAAGTAAGCAATATTAAAAAATTCCACAATACGAAACTTACATCCCATTAATAGTGCACATCCAAAACTTCTGAAATGTTAGGAGTCCGAGTGGCTTTCCACTGTAAACACAACGGGCCAGCAGACGAGCTTGAATCCAATCGACTCCCAAATGTAGTACCTAGCGCAGGCACAGCCGACAAAGCCCACAACGTGATTGCCCATGCCAATCCTTGCACTTCATACTGACCTCTCGCAAATGTTTTTGCTTGCATCCTGCATATACTAGCAGATAGGACCTCGTATCCCATCTTCCCCCAAGGTCTCACAGAGTATCTATCGAAATTCAAAAACATTTGCAGACTCTCTTGCAGCACCTTTATCGTTGGATTCTTGGCGATTATAATCCCATGAGTCAATATAGCAGCTCCAAGAGAAAGTTTCTTCTCGTCAGATATAGTTTTCGCTCTGGTTTCAAGCAGCTCCATCAAACCTTTCACAGTGTACTTATCCTTTTCTCCCAACATCCAAAGATAAGCCTTTCTCACAAAACTTGTGTGTTGGGTTTTGTTTGGGTTCGAGTTCTTCTGGTTCTGGCTCCTAACAACACCCTGTGATTAGATAAAACTCTCTTAGAGAAAATCTCATCGGCTGGTCTGCAAATGCAAACCACAAGTCTTCTCCCTTTGTCAAAATTCTTCTTTGCATAAGGAAGTGGAAGATCTTTCCAGAAAACTGAATGTCCTCTCTCATTGAGAGCTTGACAATTGGGCTGAGATAAGAGTTTTCGATTTTGGCGAACAATGTTTTTCCCAACACCTTTTCGACTCTTTGCACCAAGTTGAAGCTTGAGTGTTGCATGATTACACCCAGTTTGTCTGGTTCAGTTCCAGACTTATATATCCTTGGAGGCAATTTCCGTGTCGTATGCACTTCATCTTCCATCATCTGCAAAAGTTTTATAAAAGCAATATTAGAGCAAACGGAATAATATAAAGGAATCATATTCTATTAGAACCAAACTTTGTTTGCTTAATCAATCACTTCACAAGGATTCTACACACTAAACTGTTAGTCAATTGAAACATATGGAAAAAAGCCCAACATTTTTGGACGACTAAAAACTTCATTTTTTATTTACCCAGAACTGAAAACCGAGCAAATTGACGCAAAATTGGTGAACATATATTCATAAAGCCTTATAATTTATTATAAATCTGTGCTCACAATACAATAAATTAAATCTCAACTATGAAACTAGGTTTTCCGGGAAAGAGAGAGAGAGAGAGAGAGAGAGAGAGAGAGAGAGAGAGAGAGAGAGAGAGAGAGAGAGAGAGAGAGAGCGAAAGACAGACAAAAATAGAGCACGAAAGATGGAGAGCGAGAGTGAGAAGGAGACTAAAGGCGATAGAACAAACCTTTGTAGATTTTTACAGATTATCTAAGATACGTTTGGCGAAGAATGAGAAATTTTTTGGCTTTTTCTTACTTTTGGCAAAGAAGTTAAGCCGTACACAACACATGATGGGGTGTGGGGTTTCCGATAAGGAATTAAAATTTTTTATAAATAATCTTTATAAAGCAATTTTTGGATTTTTCTTGGACTCGTGTTTGGGCCTACATTTCAAACAGTACATATATCTCTATATTAACTATTACGCTCCAGTCATTGATAATTAAAACACCACAGCCTTGGGGGTTACACACGCCCTCTTCCTTACCTTCAGCACCCTGGTTCAAGCAACCGTGGTCCTCGACTTTTTGAAAATATTTTTATAACCAATTTAAAACGTCTTTTAAATCTTTATAAATATTTATATAAAGCAATTTTTGGATTTTTCTTGGGCTCGTGTTTTGGGGCGTACATTTCAAACAGTACATATATCTCTATATTAACTATCACGATCGAGTCATTGACAACTAAAACACCACAGCCTTGGGGGTTACACACGCCCTCTTTCTTACCTTCAGCACCCTGGTTCGAATAACCGTGGGCCTCGACTTTTTGAATATTTTTTATAGCCATTTTAAAATGTCTTCTAAATCTTTATATAAAGCAATTTTTGAATTTTTTTTGGACTCGTGTTTTGGGCCCTACATTTCAAATAGTACATATATCTCTATATTATTTGTCACGCTCGAGTCATTGACCATTAAAACACCACAGCCTTGGGGGTTACACACGCTCTCTTCCTTACCTTTAGCACCCTGGTTCGAGCAACAGTGGGTCTCGACTTTTTGAAAATCTTTTTATAACCATTTTAAAACATCTTTTAAATCTCAAATAAAACTTTATATAAAGCAATTTTTTGATTTTTCTTGAGCTCGTGTTCTAGGCCCTACATTTCAAACAGTACATATATCTCTATATTAACTGTCACGCTCGAGGCATTGACAATTAAAATACCACAGCCTTGGGGGTTACACATGCCCTCTTCCTTACCTTCAGCACCCTGGTTTGAGCAACCGTGGGTCTCGACTTTTTGAAAATGTTTATAACCATTTTAAAACGTCTTATAAATCTTTATAAAAGCAATTTTTTGGATTTTTCTTGGGTCCGTGTTTGGGCCTACATTTCAAACATTAGATATTCTCTATTTTACCTTTTACGCTCGATTCATTGACAATTAAAACACCACAGTCTTGGGGGTTACACACACCCTCTTCCATACCTACAGCACCCTGGTTCGAGTAACCGTGGGTCTCGACTTTTTGAAAAAAAAAATTTATCTATTTTAAAACGTCTTTTAGATCTCAAATAAATCTTTATAAATCTTTATAATTATTTAAATCTTCTTTAAATTTTATCCGACAAAATTTATAAAAATTTATAAAGATTGAAAAGGAAATTTAAAAACCTTTATAAAATGCATAATGAAACAACAATGTTTTTTGTGTCTTTTAAGTGGCATAATGATCCAAACACCATCAAATTTACACACTAAAGCGATGAACACTGGACTCTTTTAACTATAAATTTTGATATTGCAGTCTAGCATAATAAGAAAAAAAATCAAACTAATGATTTGAAAACAAGAAAGGGAATGTCTCTTTTCCTCTCCTCTGTGCATCTTTGCTCCATCTCCTGTCCCTATACACAATTAGATCTATAATGTAAGAATTTTTTTGTGGAATGCTTTACAAAAGATCACACTCTCGGTTTTTTTACCTTACTTGGCAAATTACGGTGCTAATAACTCTGAGAAGAGATCAGCAGCAAGCTTGAATCTTATATCCCCGATGTTTTCTTCAGAAAGCTTCGTCAAATCCTTGATGCGCATCGAGTGGCACTCTATTAATTTCAATACAAAAACGCATGTATCTGCTATTTTAGCAACCTGATACAAAAGAAGAAGACAAATAAATATAACGCCATATTCAAATGTTTACGGAAACATGATGACATTTATTTTCAAACAAGCACTTAACCTGTGGTACTTCTTTTGACTCTATTTGTATACTGAATGGAGAGATAACCATCATGTCATCTTGGGTAATTTGGCGAATGATGTAAGGAATTGTGTGTGCATACGCTCCAATATATGTATTGAGCTGTTCTTTCGAAATCTTTGATGTTGCACAGTTCAGTATGGTTATATTTCTCTTCACAAGATGAAAGATCAATGCAATCCAGCATTTATATTTGATCCTCAACGGTGTGTAGATAATGCGGATGTTTGTCTCTATGCCATGACTGGTGAATTCAGTCCCGAATTGAAACCCGTCTTTGTCATCTGCAAAAATAACATAAATCTCGTCTATTGCATTCAAGAACGATTCACCAACCATCAAAGCACTTTTGTTCATAAACAAAAGAGGATTTTGTTTCTTTCGCATCCTCAATAACTCTAAAGCTGCTTCCATATACTATAAGATAAAAACAGACAATTTTAAAGATGCTCCAAATTTCAAGTAAAAACATTTTTTTTTGCAGGACTCAAATATCTATAAACTTACCGCTTTCGTAAATACATTTCCTGCTGTCTCCAGCGTGGTAATCCACTTTGGATCTACGGTGATGTCATTAATTTTCAGTGGCCTGCATTATGAGTAGACAGTAACTGTTACAAATATGGCATCACATCTTTTATATAGATTACGAAAACTATGCTTACAAATTTGACTGTTTCCATTCCTTTATTTTCTCCATTCGCATATTATCGACCGGCTCAAAAGGATGCATTAATGGATGTCTTTTCCTTGCTCCCGTGTAAGGTGGTTGTGTAAGAATCGAAGGCACCTGTCCTCTCTGGCTTCTTCTTGCTGGCACTTCATCTGCTTGACATTTCCTAGATGCTTTATGTTTCTTCTTTTTAGATATTGGTTCAACTTCCTAAAATGCAAAAAACCATTCCGTGCAGCCAATTTCAGTGTTGTATCGAATTCTTCATCCATCATCTACAAAGTTTTACAATAACAATCTGTTTTAAATCAAAACTTGAATTACATTCGAATGTAAATTAAACAGAACAGTGTTATTAACTATTCGAAACAAGATGAAAAAAATCACCCAGAATCAAAAACAAAGAAACAAAGGAAAACTTATGGCTAAATGATACTCGTATGATGTTTTTCAAAACTGGTGAAATGATAGGAAACTGGGGACATAGGGAAAAAGATAGAGAAAGAGAGAGAGAGAGAGAGAGAGAGAGAGAGAGAGAGAGAGAGAGAGAGAGAGAGAGAGAGATTTATAAAGGCTTAGAAATCTTTATAAATCGGCAACCACAAAGGAGTTAGTGAAACAAATCGGAATTGCAACGAAAAACAAATTGGTGATTCACAATTCACGAATCACATATCTTTCAAAATCGGTAACTACAGCGAAACAAATCACAAATTTAACCAAAACAAATTCGTGATTCTCAATTCGCAAATCACAAATCTTTAAAATCGTAACAACAATAGATTCAGCGAAACAAATCACAGTTTAAACGAATAAAATAACGAATCACATACCTTTTCCGAGTAAAACAAATCTGAAGTTTCCGATCACGATTCGTGGATAGTTTTTTCGCCAACTCTCTCGACTCACGAAGAAAAGTATTGAGAATGACCTAGTGATAATTTTGCCAACTCTCTCTCTCTCTCTCTCGACTCGTGATCAGAATTTTCCGAACATTTCACAGATCGTTTTTTGCCAACTCTATCTCTCTCTCTCAACTCTACCCCGTCCGAGGATCGTGATGTCTCTGCTATTTGGAGTAGGGAGAGCGTAAGGTAAGTGGACCATTGAGATAGTGGGGTTTGAGCTCTCTCTTGATGGCGGTAAGAACGAAGAGTTAGGGAAGAAGAGAACGCTTATCTCGGTTGTCATTTTTTTCCAAGGGGCATTGACGGCATCCCTAATAGGTGTAAAATTCTATCTAAATAATATTACTGCAAATGCACAACAAAGCAGTTATAGCATAAGAGGTTATTAAATTCCAAGGGATTTTAATTGTTACACGTCAGACCTTAGGTTTAAACTAAGTTAAAAGAATGAATAAATGTGATGCAAAGAACTAGTAAAAAAGTAGATTGATTTTAAATGTGTTAAAATCAAAGAGACGGTCGCTAGGCCATGGAAAATTCTTAGACTGAATTCAAAACTGCAGAATGAAAACAATTAAAATATTTATTTATAACTCAAAACACAATTGTAAAGCCAATAAACTTTGCAGATTATCTATGTAGAATTCTTATTTTTCTTTTGCAAATGCAAATAATCCAAACTAGCACTAAAGTTCAAGTTCGATTGTTCACAATCTCTAAACCAAATTTCCTTACAGATAGATATTTTACTCATCTAAGATAGTTATGAATATTAATAATACTTTTGCATCTATTACTTAAACTTATATTTGATTTCTAGTTGATCAATCTTAGAATCAGTGTTATTATAATCTAGATGAAGAGGTAACATATTAATTCTAACAGTATTGCGAATCTAACAATTCAACATCAACCTTTGGATAACCAAAAACCAAACTAACATATTACTTAGACATGGTGAATTGAGATAACATAATGAAAGAAATAAATTGCATAAAAGAAAAGAGTAAAGATACAAAAGGGTTTTGATATTCTACTCTAATGAACATAGTTGGATTTGTCTCCACAAAAGCTTATGATCTAATCTCTCTTTAAGTCTCAATAGAAAATAAAAGAACTGTCTATCAATGGTTGTCAAAACCTAAATACAGTCTAAAACACGAGTGAGGCAAGTGTGCAAGTAAGTGAAACTTTTGGGCCAACTTGTAAATCTTCATTTCTTTTTAATTAACTCGGGAAATGTTAGCTTTGATGGGTGACGAGTGACACCAAGGGCTGGAATTGAGCGCCAATGCAGATTTCAGCTCCAAGCTGGTCTTCTCAGCAACAATCTTCGGTTTTGCTCCGGAATGCTCCGATATCTCCAAATAAGCTCCAAACATGTCAAAAAACCTGTAAAGGCTCGAAAAGACTCTAAAAGTACCAAACCAACTTTATAAATAAGACCTATATCATGGTCATAAACCCGGAAAAACTATGATATATCAACTCCCCAAGACTTAGTTTTTGCTTGCCCTCAAGCAAAACAGAAAACTAAGAATATAGTCAAAGTTTGAAAACAGTAACTCTCGGCAAATCTTAAGAATGCTACATTGATCAACAGTCTTGAATCCACATACCACAGAGACGACATTAAATAGTATGTTAGTGTACTTACTACAAGCTTCGCAATCTATAAGATATGGCTTAAGCCCTTTAAATAAATTCAAAATCGCCATTGATACCCCATTTATCAATTACGCATGCGCTCTCATTGAGGGAGTATCGTTCAAAGAACTTACAGATTCTTTTCCTTCCAAGCTCTTGAACACATATTCTTGGTACAACTCTCTTATTTTCTCTTCCCTTAGTCGATTTCTCCCTACTTTGTCATTTCTATTTTTTTATTGATTTTTGTTTATATATAGCTCAAGAATGGTGCCACTCACTTTCGTGCTCCTTGTGAGGAGACATATTCATATATGTAGGCTCACCTTTCCAGTTCTTTTCATGGAACTCAGGCTGCAGTTATTAAGCTTAGCATATTACTCTTTTTTATATAAGAAAAATATCAAAGAGAAACTGCACCTAATTTATCTTGTCAGTGCTGAAAGAGAAGTTTGATGTATACTAAGCCCCAAGATGAAAAGTTAAAGTTCATTAGGGCGGAGCTATCAGTGGCATTTCCGAACTCTCCAGAAGCCTGAACTTTCTCTGTTAGATTGATATGCTCATAGTGTTCTAACTAATAAAACCTGCAATCAATAACTATGGCAATGGTCCTTCAAGTGTCATTGTTTTGGGGTTAGTACCAAGAAAAGCTCTTAGTTTCAATTAAGTTTTGACTCAACAAAAAAATATGGGATGACACAACTGGTTCTCAAAAACAAACACAATGTCATCAACTACCTCTGATAGACTTAAACAACAATGTCCACATTGTTATCAAGTCTGGAGTTGGTAGAAAGAAGAATTAGAACTGATAAAGTTGGGTTTTAATAAGACTTATCTTGACCAATTAATGGTGATGAGCAACACAAGAGGGTGTCGGGCGTCACTGATGGGTGGTGTCGGCTCCTGTGTCGAGCGAGGTTGTTAAGCGTCCGTCGACCCTTTGTTTTGTTTTGTTTTGTTTTGTTCTTCTTTATCTTAAACACTTAAGTTAGAAAAAAATGAAATATGTACACTTACCTGTGGGTTGCCTCCCACTAAATGCTTGTTTTCAGTCAATAGCTTGACTTGTCAGGTGATTAGACAGTAGTGCATCAACCAGAGGCACAATGTGTCTTTCTGGAATCTCGTCTTGTGTCCAGTAATGTTTCACCCTTTGTCTGTTCATAGAGAATTATTTGCCTTCAGAACTCAGCAAGAAAACAACTCCTTAAGGTCTGACCTATTTGATGGTGAAGGGACATGACCAACATGAACACAATTTTGCAGGAAACAATTACAAATGAGAGTTAAATGATTGATCATTTGGTTCGAAGTGTCTGGAGATAATCTTCTTATGATGATATGCCTTAGTCATTTTCTTGTACAACTTGGAGTTTTTATATGCATCATGACTGATTTAATCTAGTTAATTCAGTTGTATCATGCGCCTCTCTGCAGTAGGCTTCAAGTTAATGTTCATCATCTTTACAGCCCATGCTGCTTTGTGTAAGTTCCACAGGAAGGTGGCATGCTTTCTCGTAAAACAGATGAAATAGTGTAGTCCCAAGTGGTGTCTTGAAGGCAGTTCAGTAGGTCCTGAGTGCATCGTTCATCTTCACAGACCAGTCCTTTCTTGTCTTTCCCACAGTCTTCTCCAGAATTTCCTTGATTTGTCTGTTGGAGACTTCAAGTTGTCCACTAGTCTGAGGATGATAAGGAGTAGCCACACGATGATTAAATCCATGCTTCTTCAGTAGCTTTTCAAAGACCTTGTTAATAAAGTGAGAACCACCATCAATTATAATAATTCAAGGTACTTAAAATCTAGGTAAAATTATGGTCTTAAACAGCTTAAGAATCACTGCAACATCATTGATTGGGCTAGCAATTGCTTCTACCCATTTGGATATATAATCAACAGCAACCAAGATGTACTTGTTCCCATATGATGAAAGCAAGATACCCATAAAGTCAATGCCCTAGCAATCATATCACCATATGAAGTTTTGTTGAATCTCATATCTTTTACTGATCTTCCCTCTCTTTTGACAGATAACACACTGAGTTATGAAGGTCTGAGCATCTCTGAACATAGTAAGCCACCAAAATCCAGCTTAAAGAACCTTGGACACTTTCTTGAAGGTAGTAAAGTGTCCAACATACATAGAACCATAGCAATGAAACAACACGTCTGGAAGTTTAGTCTTTGCAATGCATTTACTGTAAATACCATATGAACAATGCTTATGTAGATTAAGTTCATTCTAGTAGAACCTTCCAATTTCCCTTATGAACTTCTTCTTGTCATAACCTTTGAAGTGATGTGGTTTATCCTTTGCAGCTAAAATATTCTCGATATCATCATACCATGGCCTC